GAATCAGATATTTTCATTCCTGAAACGGATAATTTTGTTACACCAATTCAATTCTGTTTCTTTTTAATGTTAAAAAATTTTTTTTTTAGATATGAATTACTTGCTGATCCTCTACGTGATATCACCCCAGAACAAGCTGCTGAAAGATTAAGAAATTGTTCCGAGATTCATTATAAAGTTCAAAAAAAATAATAATTTTAATATTATTTGTATTGATTAATATTTGAGGAAAGAGTTATTGTTTATTTATTTATTTATCTGAAGGAGAGAGGGGAAAATATAACATTAATAATGTTTTTTACAAAATCAAATACCTGGTACTATCAATATTTACTTAATAAGCGTAGTTATGATAATAAAATTTTTAATTCTTTTTCATGTTTATTCAATTATTTCCGATGATCTGGAAGTGTCCTTATATTCAAAAGTAAACATGTTAATGTATGCGAAATTCAACCTCTCCCTCATATAATTTTATTTTTCTGATATACATGGGCAAACTTTATTTTTTTTTGAACATGAAAAATTCAATATATTTGCAATGAGAGGAGAATGCAAAGCTCCTGGCGAAATAATTATTCCCTATTATTCCTACTACTAATATGCAAATGTTATTTTTTCTACTACTTTAATTTAAGCTAGTCCAAATACATCAATCTTTTCCAGCCAATCATCATTTGGAAACCATTGAATTTTTAGCAAAATATATATTAATCAGTTATAAATAATCACCTTTCTAAACATATCTTTTGCCTGATTAAGAGCAACTGAAGCAGTTGGTCGACTATCTGGATCACTTTTACATAAATCTACATTGAAACTTAAAAGTTCTTGAGAAATGCCTGCGACATTACATGAACTAACCAAATTACCAACACCCCATATATCAATGCTTTTAATTAGCATTTCAGGGGCATAATCACTTTCAGAAAATTCTTTTAAAGGCCTATCATCAGGGGAAAAGGTAGCATAGTCAAAGTCAATTAAAAATGAAATATTGATACCTCCTATAATGGCGAATAATGTTTGGCCATCGAATATCATTGGTTTAGGCTTAATTTCATGCATACCCTGTTTTAACATCATAAAAATGTATAAATATAATACGTATACATAATAATAAAAATATTGTATTTATGCCAACTCTACCTTCAAACAAGTTAGTATACAAATTAATGCTTGCAGTAATTCTTTGAGATCATTTGGTTCTCGTTGCTCCCCGTGTGACATCAAATTAACAGAATGTGTAGATGAATGTTCTAATTTGTCAGAAAATCTAATATTATTTGCCTATATAAACAGTTGGGATATACCCTAAAAAAGATGAAAGTTTTGGCAAGCTAGCATGGCTGAAAATTTTTCAAACTTACACATAAATTTCTTTTAAATTTGTAACTTGTTTTTCATCTGCAAATTTTTCTTAATTGCATACCCGAGTTCAATAATAGTTCCATTTGGTCGAATAATTGTTTGAAATTCTGGTGAATCCCTTGCAGGGCATAAATTCACTATAAAAGGTAATATACGACCTAAAATAACCATATGATGAATTGGTATTTTGTGATAATAATTTAAAGCTCAAAAAGCACTCACAAATATTTTGAAGGAAATTATAATAATAGTGCGAATTCTGTCTAACAATGCCCTAAATCAAACTCTGCAATCTGTTCAGAACAAATCTCCAGTTTTCTCTTCTTATTTTCAGGCTTATACAAAATAAAAAATGTGACTAGAGGACCAACAGCATAGTATGCAAAAATGTATGGTGCATATCCATAGGTCCAATCTTTGATTTTATCAACTAATTCATTTGAAGGATCCCCTGCTTCTTCCCGGGACTTTTCTTCACCTCAAAAGGGACAAATGTTTTTCACTAATACAACCATGTCTGAGCGATTGCAGCCTATGAAATTTTTTTTTGTTAATATATATCATGTTGATCAATCACTACTTAATTCACCTGTTGAGGTTCGTTTGCTTGTATTATGATCAAATTCTAATGTTGGTAAACTAGTGCTATGCATTACAAATGTCTCCATAGTACTCTTAATAATACTATCCCATAACTCATGATATGAATCTATATGAGGGGGAGAGGGTAAATTATCCGTCCTAAAAGTTTTGAATAAAGGTATGTACATTCTGCTTTTGTACTTAGTGTAAAATATGTGTCTCGTTCTTCTTTAGTTATGCCACTTGGACCTACAGTACTAAATTGGAAAAATGATTAGGAGCAAGCATTATTTTTACTGGAGGATTTTCATTAAGGAAATTTGCCAAGTGAGCTTTATGAGGAAATTGATCAAGACTTTTAATTAATTGTTTTATTATTTGAACAGTAATGTCTAAGATGATAAAATATCATAAGAATGTCAGAATAATAACAATAACAGAGAGAAAAAAAGATAAAATTAATAATTACCTTCTGGTGCTATTATATTGAGAAAATAATACACAAAGTTAGTTGATATTTTTTTTGCATTCAGTGGCAGTAAAAAAGAAAACACATGGAAAAATAAAGGTATCAGCACAAAAATATGACGCCTATACAAACATTGAAGCTTCTGCTCTATATAACAGTAATAAACATATGAGGCATAAGTTAATAGATAAAATTATTGCGAAGAAAGCGGTATAGATTTAAAGTGTTCAAATGCGGTTGTGGTACTTACCTTGTATTTCACCTTTGATTTTATTAACTAAGCTTATGCTGGTCCTACTAATAATCCACATTTTTCAAGATCATTTTGATTCAACTCAAGAAAGTCTGAACTGGAGATTCTATTCTCTTTGAATTTATTGATGTCGTCATTGACAAGATACAACTCATTTTTTTTGAGACTTCAGAAAATCAATAACATCTTGTGAACCCCATTTTTTAGCTACGTCTTCTGTTGGAATAAACATTTTTTTTTGCAAAATGTTAATCAGATTATTGTACAACATGCACTTTCACTTTCTAATTTAATCATACGTGTGATTCTGCGCCCAGAGGTCTTTGATGAAATTTTCAGAACATCAATCACTTTTGCCAAGAAAAAAAAAATTGAATGTATTGTATCAATTATATCATACAACACTACGTATTAAATATGTATGGGAAGGGAAATATACAAGTTCACTCCAAAGATGTTTAATCAGATTAAGATCGGTGATTGAGAGGGCCAATCAGCTGAACTATTTATTTTTTTCCTTATCATCCAATTTTAACATCTTTAGCAGTATGAACAGATATGTTGTCATCTTGAAAGGAATTAATTATTTGAGTACAATATAATATAGTGAATGAATATGGATATACTAATATTAAATATTACTACTTTATACTGTAAATAGAATGTTTATGCAAATTTCTTTGACTTTCTCTAACATAATGGCATCAAATATAATAATGCCGCATTAAAAGCAATATTAGCAGTAGCAGAGGCAAAAAAAGAATGATACATCTGTGAGTGGGGTGTTAGATATTAGTATAGGGGAATAGTAAGGATTTCGTGTCACGTAAACATGCAGATCAAATTTTTATTAAATTTAATTTTCTTTTGTATATGTTGTATGTGAAAATGAAATTATGTGAATTCGCAATTCACATATATATGGGGCATACTGCAACAAAACCAGGCAAAGTGAACATTGGTATTACCAAGAATTTCAGGGACCAAAATTTAGATGATTATTATTAAAATCTTCCATTTGTTACCCTCTTAATATTAGGTGATAGAATTATCTCTATATAAAATAGTTAATATGAAGTTAATTTACATCAGATCTACTATGGAACCCAAAAATTACAGCACTATTAGAAGTATTTTGAAGAAAGAACAAGGTGAAAAAATTGCTCCTTATATTTTCAAAATAAATGACACTCAGACACTGGAAGCTTATTTAAGGAAAGAAAAGATTACTTATGAAATTTACCAAGAAGAAAGAAAAATAATAAATGTTAGAAAAATAATGAGTTTCTGTGATTCTAATATCATTATAAAATCAAATATTATGGTCTCCGTCCATTAGTTAAATTAGCAACTATTATTATACTAATAGCAAATTAATCAATATCACAATAATACAATGTAACCTTGCCCAAGTTTTTTATTTTTGAGGATCAACTTTTGTTTCTTCAAAACTTTTCTAATATTCAATAGACTCCATATAAAATAATTGGAATAACAAATCCAAAAGTATAAATTCAACAAGAGCCTAGTTTTTTCTGTCCAGGTTCGATTTCTTTGGTATGTAATTCTGCATTTCTTATCAAGTCTGTTTCAGAGTTATTGTTGATAATTAAACCAGAGGCATGAATCTTTTTAACTAGTATAAGATCTGCTGGTTTTTTTGGTTCAGAAGCATCGTCACAAAAAGTTAGTCCAGTAGTCACGCCTCCTTGCACCATTCAGGATGGCCAACGGTTTCTCTTTTCAAGTTTATCTCTTAGCATTTCTTGATAAGTGTTTTGGGGATTAACCCAATCAATGGGAGCTTTAGTTGCTTTGTAAAAACACTACTTTGGCTTCTTTTTTGTAAATTCTCAGAAATACATTTGATTGATAAATTACAACTATTATTACTGTTTCAATAATTATATATTTTTAACACTTATTCATAGTGACGTCAACCAGTAGAAAACCTTGGCCGGCTAAGAACTTGGATAAATATTATGAGACAGGCTACTTCTGGGAGTTTTGTCAAATCTCGAATTCCCTTTATTGAATTTTCACAATATATTGGGTTGATTTTTCGCTCTTATTGAAATAAAAAACTTATTAATGCATAAATTCAAACCTTTTTATTGGATTGGTCCAAATTACAAATCGAAGGAAAAATATAATAATAATAATAATAATAATAATAATAATAATAATAATAATGCATCCTCAGAAAATTCCGAAGGTGCTAGCCGAAAAAGAAAAAAGATATATCAATCACCGAAAAAATCAAAGATGGTAAATCATAACAGATCCTGATTTCTTAACTTTATTCGATGATAATGTAGCATCAGAAATTTGCTTTATTTTAAAATAAAATCTTTCGGTAGATTAAGATTTAAAATTAAACAGTAAAATAATCCCACAACCTAATAATAGTAAACCTATCAATCGTGAATTTGAATTATTTATAATTTTTATAATTTTAGAACTGTACCACATAAATTATTTTTGGACATGTATATAAAGTATAATGATTAGTATTTCTTCCCATGGCTTTTTAAAAATTTCAATATTTTTTCTATCTTCTTTTTCTTTTTCCGTAATTTCTAAAATACTTTAAAAATCAAGAGAATGTGTTCAACAATTCCACAACATATCGATTTCATTAAGAATTTAACAATCGATTCGGTAATATCGGAAAAGCAAAATAAATCAAGACTAATTGAAATTCCAACCACTGCTACAGTCGAAGAAGCCTTTGATGTATTACTTGCAGAAAATATTCTGAGTGTACCTGTTTATAAATATTTCAAAGGACGTAAACAACCAATTGCTATTATTAGCGTGCTTGATTTGGTTTCTTTTATTTGTTTGCAGGTAAAAGAAATAAAACAATTAACTTGTTATTCGAAATAATAACAAATAATAATGATGATTTCTTAAAAAATGAAATTTTTTTTAGCCAATTTTTGAAAATAAAGAAGATAATAACGACAAAAATTTAAATTTTGAAAATCAATATTTTTTACAAAAACCAGTCAGCGAAATTGTTGGATTAACATCTGAAAGCACAAATTTAACTATGTGTCGTCCAGAAAACTCGTTAGTTGATCTTTTAGAATTATTGACACGTAAACGAATTCATAGAGTCTTGGTTTCAAAGCAATATTGTGATGGTGGTGATAATGAAGAGATATCATCATCACCTTACTTTGTATCTCAAACTGACGTGATTAGATTTTTATTTAATAATAATCATAAATTAGGTGAAATTTTAGATTTACCTGCATGTAAGGCTGCAAATCAAACAATTAAATTATTATTATCGTCATCAACTACAACGTCAAAAAATCAAAAGCAAGAATTATTGTTGAGTCGTCCTTCTTCGATTACAATTCATGATCGAGCTTTAACAGCTTTCAAAAAAATTTATCAAGATGGAGTTAGTGCAGTTGCAGTTGTTAATGATGATGGTAGTTTAGTTGCCGAAGTTTCAGCAGCTGATTTACGTGGGTTAAATCGAGATCGGTTAAATGATTTAAAGAAACCCGTAATAATGTTTCTTAAATCATCAAAAGGCGCGCTAATTAAACCATTAACTTGTCATCGAAAATTTACTTTGAGCCAGGTTATGGCGGGGATTACACTTAATAAAACTCACAGAGCTTGGTTTGTAGATGAAGATGATATACCAATTGGTGTAATAACTCTTAGTGATATTCTTAGTATGTTTTTACCAGGTGTATCAGATGTATTTGCTCACGAATCATAACTAATAGTAATTAGTCAATTAGGCTTTTTTTGTAATATATATATAATACATGTAAAATATAATATTTTAAGTAATAACAATTTTTATTTATTCATTCTATTTTATTATTAACAATTGCAATAAAAAATAAAAAAATAATGAAAATAAATGACAAATTTTTTACATATATATATATTTAAACAAGCTACAATCCAACGGATTTGCCTATTAATTATTCATCCTTAGTGTCAAGTTCAGCATTATTAATAATATCTTTAGCGATATCTTCAGCTTTTGACTTCAATTTATTAATATTTTTATCAATGCCACCTTCATGTGACAAAAGAGTCGGTCTAAGTAATTTTGCGTAAAGAACTTGAGCTCCTTGGAAAGATGGGAGGAAAAGCCTATATATGTGTGAATCATGTAAAGGAATTTATATTTAGAAGAAGAATGAAGCAGAAAGATTGATAATAAATAAAATAATAATCATTTATCAGTCAATTAAATTATTTACCAAAGGCAAAAAAGCGTTTTGAAAAGGAAATAGAAAGGAACCCAGTAGAGAATGAGATCAGAAAAGAATTCAATGATATTAACAAATCCAAATACGGACCTAAGCAAATTCGATTGAATTAAGATTAAGATTAAAAATATTTAAATTTAAAAAATTTCCCTTATATACTCTTATTTACCAATAAGTTAACCATTGAGTATCATCAACTTTGACATCACTTTCAATAGCTTTGAAAGAAGCATAAGCTATTATTAAGAAAACATTAAATTATAAATTATTATATTGAATGGAGAAAAAATTATTGATTAAAAAAAAAAACCAAAAATTAGAAATTGATTAAATACCAGGATAAATCCATCCGATAAGATTAGAGACTAGTGCTCCCCAGAAATTGAAAAATGTAGAAAGAAGTACAATTCCAACAACACCGGCTGCAAGATAAATTTTCGAAACACCAGTTTTTTGTTCCAATTTAATTATTTGTGGATATTTTGATAACTCTTTGTCGGTTTGGGCACTATAATATTTGAGTTTGGCTTTAAAACTATCCATTTTTTTTTACGTTTAATTTTTTTAGAAAAATTGATGGAGGGGCGATAAAAAACGATTCCTTTTATATTAAAAAAAACAACAATATTAAAATATTATCAGTAAATCAAAGTTCAATCAATAAACAATGAATTGAACATTTGTGAAACCATCGCGCTTGCTGATTAAAATTACGAATAGATAGATAACTTCAATAAAACCCTAAAATAGAATATCACAACTTGTCTTTAATCCATTGGTTTTAAAAGTTTAAAATTCTCTCTTGTAGGGCAATTAATTCATTCACGCATATATTTAAAAAAAAGGAAAATTTATTTGTATATTTTTCACGAAATAAGAAATTTCTTTATTATTATTATTATGGCGCAATCATGATTTTCCTTATAACGGATAAAAATAGTATGATGATTAGAACTTCATCCCATATTAATAATATCAATATGTTTAGAAAAGGTCTAATTTTTACTATGTTGGATAGGGCCCGAATAAGATGATTCAATTATATCCCACCCACTATCATATTAATTAATCTGGTGCAGATCATCAACTTTTGGGGTTATCTTTAAAGGCTTCAAAATAATAAAAGTCACATGTGAAGCCAAAAAAAGCAAAGGTCATTACAAAGTGAAACATCATGTCACAAGGAATTGACAATTTTAATTGACAATTCCTTTGTGATAGGGAAATCCGCAGTTCTATTATGATAAAACTAAAATTCAGTAAAGGAAAGGTTACAAAAAAAAAACAGTGATGCAACCACATGATATCATGTATTTTATTTTTTTTAGGAAAAACTTTACAATTTTTTTATAAAAGGATCGGCAGATTCACATCTATTAAAAATTTTGAAATATCATGTGATACACACACATCTTGGATTTTTTAAAAAAAACCCACAACCATTAAATTCAGCTTTAAAAGGAAGTCAATTCATATAAAAAATGGTTTCAAAAAATTTTTTCGTGTATTTTTTTAAATTTGAGAGTTATGCAATAATAATTTTTCGTGTTACAATATGTTGACCAAATTTGGTAAGATCAATGTTCACTATGTGAGATACTTTTCCCCATATGTTTAAGAAAAAATAAAAGGTTCAAAAATATTTTTTTGGAAATGATACCAAAATCTGAACCATTTTATAACTTTTTTCTTGTTGGACATATTGCTGACAAAGATGTATATAATCATGCAATAATTTTAATCTACAAAAAAAGAGGACTGATTGGGCAAAAACCCAATCCAGTCTCCTACTCAAAATCATAAATTAGTATCAGAGAAACAGAGAATTTAGGAAAGTGATTATACAAAACAAACACTATTTTACAACTTTCCTCTTAACAT